GGTTTGATGCCTATCCATTTTTCTACTCCAAAATCTGACCATATGCATATGTTTTTAGGCTCTCTTTTTCCTATAATTTTCAATACTTTTCTAATTTTGTACTAAAATTTTACTTACATCTCAATTGAGAAAAAAATTGATTATGACCAATTGAGCAAAAAATTGATTTCACAATGACATGGTTTAGCATTTGGAGTTAAGAATACCGGTTTAATTACATCTTTTTTTTAATGCTTTATTTGTCTAGGTGTTATTTTTATGATTTAGTCTAGACTACATCTTATTGGCTCACTTGCAATTGTTTGAGCAACATAACCGCATATATTACAAAAAAACACCCACTTTTCTTGCACTTCACTGTATGTACAAGTACAAATTCCTGTTCCCCATCCTGTTAGTCTTGTGATAACAATGAGTCTGTGGCCTTTTTAGCAAATATGAATAATATAATCTTTTTGTTAAATACTTAATGTCTATTAATTATGTATAATTTTTATGTATAATTTTACTTTTAATATGTATAATTTTGTCTTCATAGATAGTTATTATATATAATTTTTATCTCATGTTTCTGATAATCTACGAAATCATTTTAGATTTATACCACAATTACTTATTTGTATTAAAATCTTTCAAATCAGTAACTTTAATGCTTAGACCTTCTATCCACAGATGATTATATGCAAAAAAAATGCCACATGTCATTTCTCATGATTTTGCTTTGTACTTATGAGTAAATTAATAATATTATTACTAATAATAACAAAGTAATTCTCATAATATGAGACTATTTTATATTTGTAAATTTTATTACTAATGGCACCAAACTAATAGTTTGATTTCAAATGTATTCACGTATTTATATATAACCTTAATGTAGTTTTTTGGCAGTCTTAGTTTCACTTTTTGTGATTTCGTTTCTCTTGAAGGTCTTAGCCTAGGTACACACACCGCTAGGGCAAAGATATCGATTTTGTTACTGATTCAAAGAAAGGGTTTTTAAATAGCTCATGTGGTGTTCCTGGGAGTTAAGTTTTATAGATCAACGTGAAGAAAAACAGATCATAAATAGATATTTTGTGAACATTGGGTGAAGAGTTTTTACATAAGGGCAGTAGCAAGAGCTAATAATAGAAGATGTATATGTCAAAGGGTTAGGGGAACCTCTCTTTTAATGAAAGAACATAAATATAGACAAACTCTACCACACACAAGCCCATTAAGAATTACTCCCTTTGTCCCATAACATTATTCCTGGTTTGACTTGGACTAAAGGGATGCTTCACAAGTCATACTGTCTTTTGCACTGAGGTAATGAATGCATGACTTCCACAGTTTATTAGAGAAATATGGCACTTCTTAGTCATCTGGTAGGCTGCTCATGTTACAAAAAAGTTTGTGCTCGACAGAAGAGGGATTGTAATTATTGTTTTCTTACTTGAGAATATCACACCTAAGCATCAACCGAAGATAACTCGCTGGAGACTGCCTATTGCCGCTTCCTTCAAACTGAATTTTATTGTTTTTCAAGGAGTATAAACTGACAAGATGTGTGGTGATAATAAATGATATGGGAGCTTTGGAGGAAGCAGTATCTTTACCTTCACCCGCTACAACTTTCTAGCCTCTTTTATATGCTCTCCAAAGATGTCTACTCATGGGAATCTTGAAGTTAGAAGTTGACTTTGATTCCTCTTTCCTGTATAATATCATAAATTAAAGCCCCCCTGCAGCTCAGGGCTATATTCAAACAATGTGAGGATTGTTTTTCTTCCCTAGATGCTCATGCCCACGTCATTTTGTAGGAAGCTAACCAAGTGGCTATATCTCTTGCTCAATCTGATTTTAAAATCTATTTAAGAACTGTCCAGAAAAATTGAGACACACTCATTCCTTTTACTGCAGGTTATGTTGAGCAGTGATTGTAGACCCAAGTGATGTAGAGCAGGGGAGACTGCATTGGTGTCATGATAATAATGACCCTCAGTAGAGAGGACTTTCCGTTTGTGGTAGAAGAAGTAAGACTATTTCAATTTTATCATAGATTAGGGTTTACTATAATATATAGTAAAGCAACCCACATAAACCCAACCGATGAAATGATCACAACTTGCTCAAACAATAAACGTATATTGTTGAGGAAAATAACTGCTTGTGATATTTCCTTCCAGTTTATTCTATTGATTTGATCCTTCAAGTTAGAAAGACTTTATTTTTTTCAAGATGAAAATTTGCTTGAATGAATGTTTTAGTAAAGTAGGAGAATGTTTTAAATCAAAATATCCTAATATACTGTTTAATATACACTATGTGCTAGAGTATTAATTTGACTAAGTAATTAAGCATTTCGTAGTTGATAAACCAAAATCAAATTTGAAAGCTTGATAATAAACTCTTCCAGTTTTTTCTATTGATTTGGTTTAAAAGTTGAAAAGACTTATATTTTCCAAATAAAGGTCTACTTAGATGAAGATTTATAGGAAACAAAGCAGAATGTAGTTTAAACCAGTAGGTTACTTTCTCATATTTAGTAAATTAATGATATTTAATCTATGATTTTCATATTGACAATGTCTATGTAAAGATGCTTGGTTCCTTTTTAATTATATGAAGAATAAGTACTCAGTGAACTAAAGAGTCATTTTTAAATCTTAGATATATTTGCAACTTGAAAAGGTACGATTACGGATTTTTAGTATCCGGTTATAATAAAGTGTCTTCAATCTTAAGGTGCGAAAGAACTAAATACTCTTAGTATCCTATTTAAGATTTCTATGAGTTCGTATTACAGTTCTTGCAAATATACTATCGTACTATGGTTTTTAGAGAATATATCTTCACAAATCCAATATAAATTGTTAGAGAAAATGATTAATCTTTAATATCATTTTCAGTTTTTGGGTGCAAATCTAAGCATAAATCTTTATCTTTATATACTTAAAAGCACTATGAGAATTTTTTTCTGCTCATTCATCCTGCCCTAAATATCTAATTTTATCTCCCGTACGATTCACCTCCCTCTTCCCAGTTTACCAGTTCAAAGCTTCTGCATCAGTTCCTTCCCCACACCGGCTGAAACTAACGTCTTCTGCTGCACCACCTCGCCCATGATTTCACTGCGCTATTGGAATTTGCAGAGTACCCATAAAATAATCTGAAATTTGTTTTAAAATAGGGAAAAAATAGAAAATGTGATTTGATTATGAAGCTCCAGAGAGATGGAATGAGCGTCTGGATAGTAGAACATGGATCATGAATCTGTTTAAGTCGCCTTGGAGTGGTAGAATATCACGATACAGCTTCCAAAGAAATATCTTAATTGACATTAGGGTTGTAAACGAATCAAATAATTTGTGCTCGATTCGCGATTCGAATTCGTATGAGACGATTCGAATTCGGAAAATTCAAATACAAATACAAATAAGAATATTAAATTTGATTCGAGTTGTTATCAAATACAAATAAGAATATCAGTGTATTCGATTCGAATATTAATCAAATATATTCGATTAATAATAATGGTAATATTAATATCAACATTAATAAAAATAGTAATAACACTGTAATAAATTTTAAAAGATAGCAATACTCTCAAAGTGTAACCCATATATACATTTTTGCATACAAATTTCAAGCCTATTTGTAATAAACCAGAATATAAATACGAATACAAATCAATTTTTTGGTTCAAATGTCTTTCAAATACAATACAAATAATTATGAATTCGATTTGAAGAATAAAATTAGAGTTGTTTGACTTTGATATATACAATTATTAACTTATTTCACACATTATAAGTATAATTTCTAATATGTGTGTGTTAGTGTTAATTTCAAAAGGTTTGAAGTAGATCTATATTTATTAATAATAAAATTAATTCACTTTAGTATATTGTGCACCATCTAAAAATGCATTAATCCATTAAATTTAAATTCTAAAAACACATATTAAGTCATAGCATGCATTTACAACATAAACAATACGGAGTATAAGAAAAGTTATTTTAAAGCGATACTCCGTATTTGACTAATATTTAACCTATGATCAAATCGATTCGATATTCGTATATAATTCGTTAACTATTCGTATTGTTAAACAAATACAAATCGAAATTAATATTTGTTGCATATTTGAATTCGAATTCGTATTCGAAAAAATTACACAAATACAAATACAAAATCTCACTATTCGACTCGATTCGATTCGTATACAACCCTAATTGACATTAGGAGTTTAGGGTGCCAGATGTCTTTATTTGAAAATGTTGTTGGACTATGATATTTGATTTCATTGTTGACACTTGACAGGGAGAATATACCATCTTTTGAGGGTTTCCGTATGAATAAACCATCAGTATCTCTCTCAGTAAGGTCTAAACCTATTTGATGCATTGTAATGGACTCGGAATCAAAATCTACATCTTTTAGGGATATACAATTAACGGCTAATCTGATCTATGGATGCAATCTGCCAATGTAGGACCATAGGCATGGTTTGGTGTTGCCAAAGGGGCTTCATGATAGTGACACCACTAATTGCTTGGAATACTCTCTTTGGAGAGGTGTTCAAGGTGTTGAAGCTAAACTTAGCGACATTTTAGCCACTTAGGTACCATTGCTTCTATCAACAAAGGCATTCACTCTAAAATTTAAGATGAAAAATACATGGTTTATTTTTTGTCATTTAGGTCTTGGAAATTATTCACTTTGAGGTGTTATGTTTAGCTACTCATTTGGTATATAAGGATTTGTTTTATGTTGTTGGGTTGGGGAAAGGAGCCATCCCTATTGCCGCAAGTGTGAATTGGGCGCTCAAGGATCGTAATGGAATCTGAGCAGGCTATTGTTGGTAAATTATGTAATACGGAGTAAATTTTAATGTCAATCCAAAAGGTTGGAGTTGTTTATTAAGGAAAGCTGCTTTTTGGATTGGAGATTCTGACTCGAGCATTCCCACGTCTATGTGTAATAATTGGTGTTGTTATTAATAAAGTTTTACGTATATGATCGGAACATTAAAAACTGTATTGACGTGTTCCCTTTTTTTTTTTTTTTTCTCGCATGCTGCTGTACATCAAGAATATAAAATACATGGTTTCTAACTGATCTGGAGCTAGTCTACGTGAGAATCGGAAAAGATAAAGACTAACAACTAATGTACACTTAAATTAACAATTATATATACAAAATAGAAGTCTATGCCGGTGTAGCCTCCCACGCATGCATGTATATACTCGGTCAATAAATAACCAATCCCCCCTCAAGATGGAGCATGGGGATCAAGAATGCCCATCTTGGTAAGTAAATAAGAAAATTGGTGTGAACCCAAGGCTTTGGTAAAGAGATCCGCGAGCTGTTCCGTAGTGGATTTATGCAAAGGAATAACGGTGCCTGCTTGAACATGATCACGAATAAAATGACAATCCAGCTCGATATGTTTAGTACGTTCATGGAAGACCGGATTGGAGGCTATATGAATGGCGGCATTGTTGTCACAATAAATAGGAATCGGAGAGTTCAGTCGTACGTCAAGACATTGCAACAGATTTTTGAGCCAAATTAACTCACAAGTGAGAGTGGCCATGGAACGATATTCTGCCTCCGCGGATGAGCGTGAAACAGTAACCTGCTTTTTGGTACGCCAAGAAATAGGAGAACTCCCCAACTGAACAAAATAGCCGGTAACCGACCTCCGAGTAATGGGGCAACTGGCCCAATCAGAATCACAAAAACCATTCAAGGTAAGAGAAGAATCAGATCGAAGTAGAATGCCTTGACCGGGATGACCCTTAAGATAGCGCAGCACCCGTACGACGGCATCCCAGTGTGCTTGTCTCGGTTGTTGCATAAACTGAGATAATATATGAACAGAATAACTGATATCTGGTCGTGTAAGTGTCAGATAAATCAGTTTACCAACCAAGCGACGATAGCGTTCCGGGTCATGGAAAAAGGTTCCTTGGTCCGATTGTAGACTATGATTTTGTATCATAGGAACGACACTGGCTTGGCCCCAAGAAGTCCAGTTTCAGCAAGAATATCCAACATATATTTGCGTTGACAGAGAAAAATACCTGAAGAATTTCTTGCCACCTCAATCCCCAAAAAATACTTCATGCGCCCCAAATCTTTGACAGGAAAGGAATTAGCCAAAAACTTCTTAAATTCAATAATCATGGCATGATTATTTCCGGTAATAAGCAGATCATCAACATAAATTAAAATACATAAAATATGAGATCCACGCTTTAAGGTAAACAATGAGTAATCTGCCTGAGATTGAGAAAATCCGTAACGACGCAAGATCCCAGTCAATTTGGAAAACCAGCACCGCGGTGCTTGTCGCAGTCCGTACAAAGATTTTAAAAGACGACAAACCTGTCCAGGGATCGATGTAGTGTAGCCGGGAGGTAAATGCATGTACACCTCCTCACGAAATCGCCATGCAAGAATGCATTGTCTACGTCCATCTGATGAATCTCCCAATGTCTAACTGCAGCGACTGCCATAATGGTACGTACCGTCACCATTTTGGCCACAGGGGCAAACGTCTCAGAATAATCAATCCCATGAACCTGTCTATTACCACAAACAACCAGTCTCGCCTTGTACCGAGCTATGGTTCCATCAGTTTTATATTTTATTTTGAAAACCCATTTGCAAAAAATGGCTTTCTTACCCGGTGGTAAAGGCTGAACCCTCCATGTACCAGTTTGCTCTAGTGCTTTTATTTCACGTTGCATTGCTTCACGCCAATTCGGGTCGCGTACTGCTTCATGATAAGAAGTGGGTTCCTTGGAAGCTGAAAGGGCTGCAAGAAATGCACGATGCTTGACAGAAAAGTGAGTATAGTTTACATAATGAGACAAGGAATACGGATTACCTGAGTTGGCCTTAGGAGTAGTGCAAACGTTGGAAGGAGAATTTATTTTCACTGTGTTAAGCTGCACGTCATAGTCCTGATGCCAAATGGGTGGTTTTCGCGGACGTTTCCCTTGTATTGAAGTAACTGGAATGCTGGAGCTGGTCAAAGTGGAATCCCCAGTTGCATGTGACGTGGACTCCCCTTCCACGTGAGAGTCTCCATGTGAGGATTCATTACTGCCATCCGCATGTGTGGATTCATTACTGCCATCTGCATGTGAGATTGCTTTACTGCCATCATTAGGCAACCGACTTGAGTCATTCGTGAATTCTGCTAGATCATCTGAATGGATCCACCGCAGCCAGGTGGCTGCATCATCAGTTCGTGGATCATCATCCTGCCCTCCAGTAGGTGCATGACTTTCCTTCGCAAGTTGTTTGAATGGAAAATTTGATTCAAAAAAACGAACGTCACGCGAAATAAAATGACGTTGATTTTCCAAATCAAATACCTTCCACCCCTTTTGAGAGTATGCATACCCCAAAAATACACACTTAACACCTCGAGAGGCAAATTTGTCACCATTCCGGTCTTTGTTATGTGCATAGCACAAACATCCAAAAACTCTCAATCGGTCATAACTAGGCACTTTGTGATACAATAATTCATAGGGGCTTTTGTTATCCGAAATCGGGGAAGGCAATCGATTTATGAGATAACCAGCCGTTAAAATGCATTCACCCCAAAAAGTTATTGGCAAGTTTGCATGAAACCGTAGAGTACGTGCCATATCAAGTATATGCCTATGTTTCCTTTCTACCCTTCCATTTTGTTGAGGGGTATACACACAAGAGGTTTGAAAAATTATGCCCTGCTCCAAAAAATATTCTTTCAAACTATGAAATTCCAGCCCATTGTCACTTCTTACAATCTTGACTTGTTTATCAAATTGTCTTCGGGTCATAGCAAGAAAATATTTCAAAACATTTCGCACTTCGCCCTTATCACAAATTAAATGCACCCATACTGCCCGCGAGTAATCGTCTACTATAGTCAAAAAATAACGTGCACCACATGTTGCTTGAGTTCTATACGGGCCCCAAATATCACAATGAATCAACTCAAATGGTTCAACAGCTCTAGTTAAATTATTACTAAATGAATCACGAGTTTGTTTCCCACGCAAGCATGCATCACAAACATTATTCTGATCAACCTCAACCTGTGAGTTATTCAAATTATTAATCAAACGTAACACCGTCTTGGATGGATGTCCTAATCTCGAGTGCCATAGATCACCTGATTGAGCGGTCTTGATTGCATGAGCTTGTATCCCATCCAGACAGTGAAAATAATAGACTCCTCTGTTCCGTTTAGCCACTCCAATCGGCGTTTTCGAAGATAGATCCTGTATTACACAAATATCATTAGTAAAATATACATCACATTTCAAATCATCGATCATGCGTGCAACGGAAAGTAAATTGCACTTTAATCCGGGGACCAAAAGCACATTTTCTATTCGTATTTGCGGACTCAAATGAATATTCCCCACACATGTAGCATGTGTAATCTTCCCGTCTGGCATCGTAACCGGGACTGGACTCATTCGGTTCATTCTGTCAAATAACTCGGCTCTTCCTGTCATATGATAAGACGCTCCCGAATCAAGGAGCCAGTCGTGATTAAAAGTCGTACTTGAAAGCTTTTCCCGAGAGGTAGATTGCTTACTGTTTTCAACAAATTGCATGAGTATTTTCATCTGCTCATCCGAGAACCCTAGCAGCTTGTTGGACTGGTCACTAGAGTTTGCATCGGATGGTTCACCTATCATGACGTCTGCAACAGCCTTGTCGCGTCCGCCATCTGGGTTCGTTCGGTCTTCGTTTTTGTTCATAGGGATCAAGTCGTTGGCCATCGTCGTATGCTAGATCGGTAATCGCAGGATCGTTAATCACTGCTCTGATACCATAATAAAGTTTTACGTATATGATCGGAACATTAAAAACTGTATTGACGTGTTCCCTTTTTTTTTTTCTCTCGCATGCTGCTGTACATCAAGAATATAAAATACATGGTTTCTAACTGATCTGGAGCTAGTCTACGTGAGAATCGGAAAAGATAAAGACTAACAACTAATGTACACTTAAATTAACAATTATATATACAAAATAGAAGTCTATGCCGGTGTAGCCTCCCACGCATGCATGTATATACTCGGTCAATAAATAACCAATAGTTATTGGAGCAGGGCGATTAGCTGCTAACCTTATACAAGTTTATACACATACCTTCCCAATTACTCATTAATTATTTTAGGGAGATTATTTTTTGGAGTTGCTAAACTTATTTTGCTAGTGGTTTTCAAGGTGACTGATTTCATTGTAAAATTGTATGGATATCAATTGCCGAATTCTTTAATTTCTACAACATTTTTAGTTGTATTATTATTTTAGGTGTTATTATCATAACATGTGCTCATATTTTAATGAATATTTTTTGACAATGAAGATATTAGGAAACCGTAACACCATTAAAAAACAGGATTCAAATGTTCAAGATAAAAATTCAATGGGGAAGACATTCAAATGAATTCTTGAAGATAACTGTGCCGTTAAAAGCGTTGTTATCTTTAAGAATTCATTTGAATGTCTTCCCGATTGAATTTTTAGCTGAAATTTGGTATGAGTAAACTAGATTTAATGAATAAGATGCTCAAAAAAATTTATCACAAAATTCCACCGGAAGCCACCTCAAATGGCACATCTGGACAAAATCTTCTATACAAGGACTTATTTGACGCCTTTTTTGCAACTTCGAGGACCAAACTGACCCTTTACTCATTAAAAAACCATTGGTTATAAAAGCAGATCTCATGTTCAAGTCCTCATTTTGGTCATAGTATTGAGCTGGAATACATCAGTTCTTACTTCTTAGATTCCTTCCCTAATTGTGGGTATAAATATATATCAAAAGAAGTGATACAGACACCTCTAAATGAATGTGGGCATATATGGGAATTAAAAAAAACGTCTTTTTCTTTTTTACAAATACACCTCACTCAACATAATCTTAAAGCTCTTGTGAATCTTTTCTATCCACGAGGAATGCTGCAAAAGTGAACAAAGCTTTGTATATAAAAAGTAAAAACGTGTTAGGATTAAGATGTCACTATTGATATTGATGAGGCATTAATGATTGTCTGGTGTTGGTGATTATTATCAGTTGACTTGCCTTAATTTACATTTTTATGTTTGGGATTCATGCTATTGCGTTGTTTTTTGAGATGGTTGCCTAATTAAATTGAATTTCAAATCCAAAAATTTATATCCGTTAAAATGGTTAAATCACTTTTCCTGAATTAGTTTTCAGGATGGTTAACTAATGATCAAATACCTTTTCCTTTTTATTGTTGCTTTTACTCTCTATATTTAGTTTTTAACTAGCCTGATTTATGATTATTTGAAATTCAATACATTGATGATTAATTTGGTAGTTTTTAAGTCGCATCGAAAGACGTAATTTTTCTTTTACGCATTGAGTTGTGTAATAATAGAAATAAGTTAGGTTTAAATTACTTTGGACGGACTAAGTTTGCCTAAAGGACGATGTTAGCTATTTTGTTCATATAATGTGTTCTGTACTTCATTAATCAAATAATTTTAGATACTCCATCGGCCTCACTAATGACTAAACTTGGCCAACTTTGACTTCTACATAAAATATTAAAGCAAAAAATGTGTAGTTTAGATTTTGTGCAGATGAGAGAGAATTAATTTCAACCACTTATTTCATACTCCCTCCGTCCCAGGGAGAAGTTCCCGGGTTGACTTTCACACATATTAAGGAAACAAAGTTACTGAGGGGTAAATTTTACTGTTTGGCACTGTTTCGACACTATTTGGCACTGTTTCGACACTGTTTGGCACTATTTTGCACTGTTTGGCACTGTTTTTATGTAGGATAACTTTCCATTTAAGGAAATGGGAACTTTTTGTTGGGACTGCCAAAAAAGGAAATTGGGAACTTCTCCCTGGGACGGAGGTAGTACTTTAAAATGAAATTGACAAACTTTTTTGGAACGATCAAATAAGAAATTTGGCAAAGTTTTATGGCACGGAGAGAGTATTAGTTTTTCATAATTTAGCCAATTCAACCATTTTAGTTATAATTTCATAAATTTCAATAGAGATTTTATGAAGTATGTTATCTATAATAAATGGGTGCATAGTATAGCAGGTATGTCAGTTGGTTGTAAATAGATCATACAATCTTAAGAAAAAGGATCACCACTAGAATTGTTAATTAACAAGAAAATACATTTACTAATATAAAAAGAACAAAAAAAACTATAATCTTATTAAAAAATAAATCATTAAAATTGCTATATAAAAGGTACTAGAAAGTATCATACAAATGGAAAAGACACATTTTTTCATATAATAAGTGTTGACATTTTTTAATAGAAGTTAGGGTTCAGGGAAACAAAGAATTAGAGGATCCAAATAGAGAGGTGGTAAGAAATAGTTATCTCTTGAATGCACCAAACCTAAACAATAATTTCAAAATCCATGTGTGTAGCTGTGTATAGAACCGTAAAAGCAGGTTTTGAATAGACTTCTATTAGCAAACTTTAAAATGAACTTCAAACATCTATTAGTGAATATGCAATAATTTCATTAATAGTTAGTTATGCAAAAATCGTTAATAAAAAAGTGAGGATCGGTCATTGGAAAAGGTTATCATCTTCCTTCGTAGCTTTGACCCTTTTTACGCATCAAAAGGGGTATGTGGCGATGGTACCGTGAGTAACAAGTCCAACGAGTTGATGTTACATACAAAGTTGTTTTACGGCCTTCCCGATTAGGGCTGTGAAAATTCGAGACGTGAATTTTACCGTGTAACAGACTTACATGTACACCTTTTTCAGCATGTGATATTTCCATTGAATTTCTACCAATTAGTTCTTAGTTTGCTATTAGTTTGCTATTATAATGACATATATCTGTAATCTATTTATTGTTTTGAGTTTATTGGATTACTATCAAACTTTCCCCCATATAATTGCATTTAAAATATTATACTCCCTCTGTCCCGCTAAGATTGTCCCACTTTACCTTTTCGGGAAATCCCACTAAGATTGTCCCATACCAAATTTGGTAAAGTTTGTGTGACTATAAATCATTTTTATTTTATTCTTACTTTATCAATTTAATATCAACCACACAATCTCACTTTTCTTAATAGCCGTGCCACTTTGTCTTGTCCCAATCTTAATGGGACGGAGGTAGTAATATACTTCACTCCCGTGCAACGCACGGGTGGAGTAACTAGTATTCAGTTATGTAGATTGGATGTACGTTGAGTCATTTCAGCCTTTTCTGCTATTTCAGTCATTGCAACGGTTACCAAACCGTTACTGATCAAGAAAAAATCCTTCCCTAGTGATAGGCAATTGAGTTTCAAATCTTCTCATAACCTTATTTCTCTAATCATAGTCAAAATAGAAAATTTGAATAATTTAAAATTATATAGAATATTCAAGAACACACTTTTTTTTGACAAAAATAACACACTTATTTAAGAAATGATAGGCCATTTGGTAACATGGGTTTTTAGCTTATTAGGCAACTTTTTCACTAAACACGTAACTTTTGTTTTCGGGCGCTGTATTGTGGAATAATAAGAAAAAATAAGGTTGTAGTTACTTTTCTGGCTGTATTGGTTGAAGTTATTGTAGATGATCATTTTAGCTATTTTTACATATAAGTTTTTCTTTATTTTATTAGTAAAATATATTTTAAAAATAGTTTTTTTAAAATCAGCATAATAAGCCAATGCAGCCACTTGAGCCAGAACTTCATAGATTTCAGGAGATGTCAATTTTCATGTTACCAAATGTGCTCTCGGCATAGGGTCCCACCTATCCAACTCTAAGTGGCGCGGCTGGCGCCCTGCTCATACTTAGCTTCAGAGCGCCTAAATTTTCATATGATTTCCTTCACTGTGCTTGTTAAAATTTAAAAGCTTCCTTCATATGATTTCCCTCTTTCGACTTCATTCTTATGCTTCCGAACACGTATATCATTCATATGATTTTCTTCACTTTCCTTGTTAACTCGCGAAGTAGAACCTGGACCTATGGAGATTGGCACAAGCTTGACATCCTTATCATGCGAAACCTCAAGTTCTGGTATCATTGTATCAAAAGGGCAAACCTCTGAGGTTTAATTGCATACCGTGATTAATAAAAATGAAAATATAAAATGTGAAATTGATATTATAATTCTGGAGACCTCATACGAAGAGATGAGATCCGCATGTCACATATATTGAGCATTAATCCTCCTTATATGTTACAAAGTGAAACTAATATGAAAGAGAGAGGAAGTTGTGCATGGGCCATGCAAAGACATGCTACCCATGTAAGTATGATGGTGTGAAAGAGAAAGGAAATTGTGCATGAGACCTCTAAGATATGCTAGCCACGTAAGTATGTTGTACATGACATTACATGAGTGGAAGTGTAAAATATTTTATATTTCCAGTACTCCCCCTCAAGGTGGAGTGTGAAGATTGCAAACACCCAACTTGCTCCAGAGAAACTGAAACTGTTCAGTGCCAAGTGCTTTGGTAAATATGTTACTCGCAAGATGAAAGATGCAAAAAACAGTCCACCTAAATTTCCTTACTCGCAAGTCGTAACTCTCTCTCGAACAAAAAAACAGTCTATTTCTACGTGTTTTGTACATTTATGAAAAACTGGATTGAGCGCGATATGGCGGGCTGCTTGGTTGTCATCGTAAAGGGGTGTAGGATTTGTTTGACTAACTGTGAGATCCCGGAGCAACCAACGTGGCCATAATATCTCACTAATTATGATTGTCATGGCTGAGTATTCTGCTTCAGCGGAAGAACGAGAAACAACAGATTGTTTTTTAGTTCGCCAAAATATCGATGAACTCCCAAGAGTAATAAAGTAACCAGTGCTGGAGCGACGAGTGAAAAAACATCCCGCCCAATCTGCATCACAATATCCCTG